GGTGCGGCCGGGGGCGGCCCCAGCCACTCTCCGCGTGGTGGGAAGAGTTGTTACGGTGTGAGAAAAGCCGCAATAATTTACTGTCGTTTAAACAACTGTTCTATCACCCCACGACCCCTTCCCACCCAGGAAGGGGCATCAGGGACAAAAAGGGAATCCACGAGGCTTGAAACATAAACAGATTTAATAGAATAAGACTAGATAATTAACATTAATAATACTAAAGGACCAATATTGATCCTGATACCAATATGAAATACACAGGATTACCCTCAGCCCATTCCGGCCATGCGCTCCCTGCAGGGGACAGCAAACGGGGGACACTGCCAGCGCTGTGGCTTCGGGAGGAAGGGAGGGCTCGGGGGTCCGGCACTGTGGCAAGAAGTTCTCAGGATGACAGCCATCGAGGCAGAGAGAGACAACTCCGCAGCAAACTTTCTGATTTATACCAAATGTGCTGTTCGTGGTATGAAATAACCCCGTTGGCAGCTTGGGTCAAGCGCCCGGCTCTCGCTCCTCCTCATCCCCACGACTGGTGAGCTCAAAACCACCGAGACCTTGAAGCCTGCCCACCATAGCTGGCTGTAAAGTACATATTTTCACCAGTTCAGACACTAGAGTCTTCTAAAAGTGCAGTTTTCCCAAGTATTAGAAGAGAAATTAGTCCCTGGGTTGCTCAAACCAGGACAACAGTCTAGTCAGCCCAGGAAAGGTCTTTGGGGGAAACGCTGGTGACCACATCCCACAGGGCAGCGATGCCGGGAGCATGTTCCCCATCCTCCCCAGGGCTTTGAGAACCCCTTCTGCCTCCCCAACTTGAACTCTGGAGCAGGTACGTGCCCTGGGCAGGAGGACTCAACGTTCATCTCTCGGAGCTTGTTGGAACGGAGGAACTATCCGCCCCGCTTCCCTGGGCTGGCTCCAGCCAGGCTCAGCCCCGTTTGTTAATGGGTAGCTATTCCCCAGGGCTTTCGTGTCGTGACCCCCCCAAGAGATAAGCACCCGGCCATGGTGGTGGAGCGCATATAAAGCCGTGGCCTCAGGTCCAGACAGCAGGAGAAGAAGGTCCAGGAGGCAGGAGAAGAAGGTCCAGGCAGCAGGAGAAGAAGGTCCAGGAGGAAGGAGAAGAAGGTCCCTCTTCCAGACACCCTCTGCCTATCTTTGCAGGAAAACCAGCCCGGTCTATCGCAAGGACCTGCAGGTAGGAGATGACGTGTGTGTGTGTGTGCGTTTTCCAGCATGGGTATAGGACCAGGAAGGTCCTATTTGAATCTGAAGGAGAAATTAATGCACCAGGTTCTCCCCTCCCTCCCCTGCCCTGAGTTCCCGCGAGGCGGCCCCGTGGCATTCCCATTCTCCATGCCCCCACACACCGGTGGCCACCCAGCAAGATCCAGCCCACTGGCTGTAAATCCTCATAGGTTTGGTGAAGATGGGGCCACCTTCGTTGAGCAGTTGTGGTTCCTCCCCTCTTGCCTCCCGGAGCTTTTTTGAGCTGCGGCTCTTCGTGCCTTGTCTCCCCCAGGCAGGAGCCATGGCTGTCCCAGTGGGTGCTGGGGTCTTCTGCAGGGGACGGGGTGCCATTACAAGCTCGGGGGGGCGGATTGAGGTCCCCCTTAAGCTATGGGTGTTTTTGGAGTCCTTACAGGTCTCCAACTTTTACTCCTTGAAAACCCTCAAGTGCTGCTCAGGCAGCTCCATCACCCTGAACTGTTTAAGGGCACTTGGTGCCCTTTCTCGCCATGAGGAACATCTGCAGGACTCAATCTCTTGCTAATCCCGGCTCTTCGCCACGCTTCTGCTTAACTCCTGTAGGGTTCCTGCATGCCGGCAGGGATGAATGCTGCAATGTCGCTGGTGGGAAGCCAAGGCGTTGTCTCGGCCACCGAGGGCCTCCCCGCCGCCG